TCTTTATCGCAAAATAACCCACAAAGTATTTGTGGGGGTTTAATCTGTTTTCTCTATTAAATGGGCAATGTGGAAAACACGGCTTTATCAATCTTAGAAATACATAAGTTTTATCAGTCAGCTGGAGATCTTGATCAATATGTACTAGGATGATTGTAGTAGCATCAGGGCCTGAACAGGATGGAAGAGGAGCTTCTCATGCTGCCCTTCGAAAGCACACCTTCTTTAGGTGGAGCTGGGGATTTTCCCATTAATGCCACATCCCCTCCAGAAGCACCTGAGTTAGCCACCAGGCTACAGGCACACATCTTCTTGTGGTCTTTCCTGCAGGCTCCATAACTCTTGTGCCTCGCACCCTAAAGGGCGTCAGACTGAACTGACACCCCTTCCACATTTCAACCCCCACTCACAAGTAACATCAAGTGTGTGTTTTGAAAAGACTAAGCCTTACTCTGATGAGCACCTACTCTCAGAAGAGGATTCAGAGTGTGGATGGCTATCATCAAGATGGGAAAGGACTTCAAACATAACTCTGTACCCAGCTCCTTTTTTTATTTATGACAGGGTTTTAGCTGAACTCTAGCTCAAGCTCAAATATTCTCATGAAGATTTGTGGTCAATCTTATGAATAACAGTAATAATAATAATAATAATGATAATTATAATGCCATTCAATTTGCTTTGGAGATTTTCTATACTGTCACAGGTAAACATGCTGTCTCTCAAATATTGTAGGAAACAGCTAAGTGAAAAGAACAGATGGGGGAATGCCTTCCCAGCCCTGTAATGGAAACATGCTGTGTTTTCAAGATGTTATAGGTATGATCAGTTGCCAAACTTAGGAATGGGAAAGGATTTTTCCCTGCAGGCATATTTTTTTTCACCTTTGTCTTCGAGAGATGTCTTCAGGTTAGTAAGAGAATGACTTTAAACTTTTGTGTGAATTTATAATGTTGTTATCATGAATAGCTATTGCAGATGAAATTCTGAAAGAATGCAGCTCCAGCAATTAACGATCAATTTAGCATTATTGCTAGGTGAAAGTCTACTGCTCTGTGGAAGGAAAATAAGATATTCTGGTATTCACACTTGTCCTGTGTATCCTTGTTCTCCCTCATGGGTGGAACACAAAAAGAGCCAGAGATGACTTGAATCCTGGGGAGCAGGGTAATAAGGCACTTTTCTGAATTATTTGGCATAAACGTTATTACCAGAGTAGATCCAATGAATGCCTCATAAAGAGGGGAGAGTGGGGTGGATGACCAGGGAAATCCAGGAGTCAGACCCTCTCATAGAATTTAAAGGTAATTGTGATCTTGAATCCTAAAATGCATGTCAATAATACTGTTTAACTCTCCTGTATATTTTTGTAAGTGTCAGTGCACATCTATTATAAAGTCCTCCTGGGAATTTCCACAGCATCTGTATTTCTGTTCAACATAATTAGAATGAATTTTATTTGATCTGACAGCTAAGTATTAGTGCTGAGCCTTCATGAAAAAGCTACCTGTCCAGCTTTAGGGAAAAACAGAACATAATGACTGGGGTTGGAGAGCACTTAGCTGGGGTTACCACAGCCAGCAGGAGCAAGGATCCAGACCTATGAATTTTGGTCATATTTTGGATACCGGACCACATGAACGAGTCTAAACTAATCCTTGGTGATAGCAAGAAAAGAGCTGTAAAGCTGTTGCATGTTGACTGTTCATTTTAGCAAACTTCAAAGTTCAGCTAGATTCGTAGTGTTTTGCAAAATCTAATAGTGGACAGTATATTATGTAGCAGAAATATTTTCTGCCTATAGACTAAACCCAGTATGTTACAGTCTGTCTTCTTTTTTCTACATAAAAGGATAATTTAAGAATGTAATGGTAAACTATTTAAAAAGGGAAAACAAGATACAGGTGGCCCAGTTCTTGAAAGCCTTTTCTCTAACCAGCTTAAGATCTATGATAGGGACTGGCCAGTTTGGGTGTGATCTTTTTCTCTCTCCCTTTCCTTTGACTGGAGACATAATTTTTCTATAACACTGCCCAGCACAGTCACAGGACTTTTGTTATTTATAGTTCACTGCAAAGGCCCTTAAAACTACACCTGTATTTCTACATATATTGGAGATAACAGGGACAGAGTGTATTTTATGGTGCTGAGTACAGTCATAGTCTGCCTGTGTTCACACTACATAGCAGCTGGCTTTGAGTTTCATCTCAGAAAAAAATTGCTTTTCTTGTGTTTCTTTGTTTTTACTTCAAATTGTCTATATTAAGGTGAGTGTTGCATTGCAGTCTTTTTTTTTTTTTTAAACTATGAAACTGTGACTGTACAGTAGTAAGTCAAACATGTCCAAGGCCATTCTCTGGCACCACATGGCATGGAATGTTCTCCATGAATTCTCCACTAAATTCTCTTAGTCTCCAAAATAAGAAGTCTACAACCAAATTGCCTTTTGTGAATGGTACCTATGTTGCACTGGTTTCCTAAGGACCTGTCAGGAACTGTTTGGAGAGACAGGAGTGGTCCAGACTAAAATATTCATCCATATAAAAATTGGCATTTTGGCACCCAGGAATATTCCCCCAAATGTCTGCTTTAGTAAGATAGGCATAGCCTGAGGGTTTGTCTTGTATGGATATAGAAAAACATGTGTGAGAGGTTGAGGTTGTAGAGACTACCGGGTGAGTGTTAAAAGGAAAAGGATGGAGGGAGCCAAGCTTGACACAGTCTTGTCCATACTGTGTATTTAGCATCTGTTATCCTCAGAACCACATCCATAGCATTTATTATCCTCAGAACTGTGGAAGGACATTGTCTCAGAGAGTGCCAGCTGGCACTGGTCACAGATAAAGCAGAGAAAGTGTTAAACATTTAAGTAGTATGGCCAATCACTCTAGCTTGACCTCACCTCCAGGCTCTATTCTATTTTGCAGTCAAGTTGCTTTGAAGTATCAGAATAGCAGTGTTTTGGCCACACAACACTATCTCAATTCCCTTCATCACTATGCCTTGCTGAGCGAAGGAATCTGGGTGGCTATTTGAACATTTTATGACTTTTTGATTTTGCTTTACCTCTGACAGACAGCCATGCTATGTGTAAGAACACAGGAAAGCCCACAGGCTTAATCAGAGGAACTATAAAACAGGGAGGTGAGATGGGGTTAGTCTGAGTCAGTACTTCTAAAGCACAGCAGCAACTGGCACAGTACCGTTGCCGCTCTCACTTCCTCAGCAGTCATTCCCAATGGCCCCATCCTTTCCTTTTTACAAACAAATATCTTTTCCTGCATTATAATCATACTTCTAAAAATATTAGGCCATATTAGGCAACAATACTGTAAACAAGACAAGAAAAAGATGTAAGCATCTTAATTACACTATGTGAGTCAGAAGAAAATATGTAATGGGAGTCCTGATTCTTGACAGCAGAATGTGTACAGCATTGTTGGTGTTTATTTGGTGTTGGATTACGCTCTCCTGAGTGGTAAGAAGAATGTTTTAGTGTCTGTTGCCACAGAGAATGTTCGCATTGTGAATGGCATGATATTCCTACCTTTCAATAAAAAACAGAAAAATTCAGAATTCTTTATATCATTATAATTATAAAACTCCTGTTCATATTGCTTGCATTTAATTTTAGAATTGCTTGCTCATCAGAATTTTTTTGTTGATTCATGTTTTTCTTCTTCCTTTCTAGGCATTTATCCTAAAGCATATTTAGGATAATCTTTTCATTTTATTTTCCTTAAACTTGCTATGAATCTTTGTCTGGTGCTTTATTTGAGACGTTACATGACTGCTTAAGGTAGCTATAGTCTCTGGGAGAAAATGACATAAGAGATTAAAGCTTGATGTTAAACTACCAAGAAACCACAATCGGACATGGAAGGTCAGCATTTCAGCAAAAGAAGGTCGCCAAAGCAAACCCTTCTCTCATTGCAAGGCTTCTAAGACCACTGCTATGGCTGCTATTTGCTAATTCTTTTCAGTGGCCTAGAATCTGAAATTTGAAAGTACATGTGCTGTGCTTACAGCCCAAATAATAATAAAAAATACTTTTGTTTGCATATGCAAGCAGAGAGAGTGATTTTTAAAGTTATGGTTGATACATACTGATCACTGGATATTAAAGTTTAGACCAAGATCTGTAGGTTTCATGCAAATATGATTGTTCAACTCCTCTGGAGACACACATAATGAATTATATCAAACTATTAACATGCATGAACAGACAACTATGCAAAACCTCCAAATCCATAAATTATGAACATCCCCTTGAAAACTAACTGCTGTATTGCTTCTGGTAGAGAGTAGAGAAAAAACCCTCAAATAAAACTCTAAGAGACTTAATCATACTGACTGAGATAGAACAAAATGGTCATTAACTAAGACAACCAAACCTTCTCATTCAACGGGGTCTAAGTCTGAAACTGTGAATATCCAACCTAAAAAACCCTACATGAACTTGATTTTTATATAGCATGTGATCCATAAGCTTTGGCAACTGCAGCACTTCATCGTTCAAAATTTGACACATTCATAATTACTATTTGGATGTGAAACTTATATGCCACTAAATTAGCATTGAAGAAAGAGAGATAGAAAAAATGATTGAGAATCTCTTGAACAAAGCAACCTTCTGCACCAACGTGGCCTGTCCTACAGAAGTGTCAGACTTTTTCAATAGATAGATAGCCAGCAAAACAAACAAACAAACAAACAAAAAAAAAAAGAAAAGAAAAACAGATGAAAATGAAGAGGCAGAGAATTTAAAACTGAAACCATGATGGTTAATATTGCAATATGACAGTTTGATCTCAGAATATTTTACAAACAAGTTGCACCAAAGTAGTTTTAATGAATTGTTCATCATGTTCTGTACAGTACCAATTGAACAACCCTATGACATCTAGTGTGTCAGAAGGCTAAAATCTGCTAAATGAACACTTCGCATTTACTTTTAGGAAAATACTTTTAATAATCAGGAATAATTCAGTAAAACTTACTTCAAAGTCAAGGTCCGAATAACGTGATTTTCTTCTCTATTAAGCAGTAAAAAAGAAAGAAAAAAGAGGTTGTATTAACAAGGGGACTATTCACCAAATCATATTAATGAGTCTAATAACATTCTTTTTTTCCTATCAGATATATATTAGGTATTCTGCGAGAGGTTTTAGATTTTATCTTGATAATTTAAGATTAATGCATGACTTATTAGACCACTATCATAGTCTCTTCTCTGAAATAAACCAGACTACATTTCCCCGGGATGCATAATGTGCATGTTATTTGCATGCAATTGAACGTGTTGGTGTATAAAATATATCTATGTCTATACTTTCTGTGGTATTTCCAAATTATCATCATATTTATACTTTTTACACAGCTATCTATAAGTATCTATGATTTAGATTTGTATAGGTATACAGAAATTGGTTCTTTCCTACATCAGCCTTACATTGGTACAACTCCATTGACTTTAATGGAACAACTGATAGCAAAATCAAGCCAAAGCCATCTATACTTTCCATAGCTTCAGCTTGTTTGTTTGCAATGACAATCTGGATGGAGAAAGCAATGATTTTGTTTTACACTTATGACAAATCTGATTCAAAGCATCTGATATAAAGCAAGAATGATTTACTAGTGAAGTAATCACTTGTATACAATGCAACAGAATATGATTGCTTAGAGATATTGCAAATAATTTAGCACAGAATTTATTACAGATTCTAAAAGAAACCAATTATAAAGTCAAATTACATCAGAAAGAAACAGAAATATTATAAAGAAGAGATAAAAGTATCTTTTTTCTCCTAAGTTTGGAAATTGAATGGCTTGCAATAGACTAAAGAGATGTAGAAACAGGGGTTGGAAGAGCTGAAAAAAAGAGTGCAAAGAACATGTGAACGGAAGGAGAGTTAAAGGAAGGGAAAAGTACCCCAAGAAAAGAAAAAGGCTTGCTGCCACAATTTAACCCTAACTTTTGTGGTAGGATAGGATGGCTTTAGGTCACGGTGAATGAACCTTTTCAAATTGCACGTAATTTCTGCAGTGAGGTACAAATTAAATCCATTAAGTCAAGATGAATAATGTTACTGACTTCATTAGACTTTGATTTTATTTGGTTTAATGAATGTGCAGGTTTTAGTAAGCTGTTTTGTTTTCTTGCAATTGAAAGAAATTTTACAAGTCTTTCAGTTGTAGAAAGTGGAAAATGTTTGTCTCTGAGGCCTTGATAATACCACTTCGTGACATATTGTCTGGTTTTGTAGTAAAATTTTGATGCTCCAATCCATAATAATATGAAGAAGATCGCTGTAACACTGTCGCCACACGCTGATCCCTAAAGAGCTGGGAGGCAGTACAAAAGAACAGTCTATAATACAATTAAAACAACTAACAACAACAAGCTTTGGAGAAGCTATCTTCAATCAGCAAGGCTTGCTTTAACCTAGCACACTTTAAAAGGAGTATTTTAAAATAAATTAAACAATTCTGCAAAAATAAGTATCATGAAAACATGGAAACAACAAAGGTCTTGGAGGTAAGAAAAATATGAGGACATTATGCTCAAATTCTTAAAGTAGCTAAGTTGTTACTTCTCGCTCATATTAAGGGGGCCATGGTACAAGTGTACCCTTGACATAGGCCTTCATCATTCCACAGTAAAACAGCACCTGAAGAAATCTATGTATTTCTAATGAGGAAGGATCTGTTTTTAAGGTGCAATTAGAGCACATCTACCACCTTAAGGGCTCTGTGGTTACAAAAGAAGAAACATGTACAGCAGATAATGAGGTGAAGTTTACAGGTGTAGCTTTGAAAAATGCTTGAAAAATCTATTTTTAAGCTACAGTTCAAACTTAATGATATCAAACCTGATATCATTGAACCATCTGACTGAGAACCCTAAGTGAAAACATGGAAAATTTAGGAAGAAATGTGCAGTTTGCTATATACTGTGATTTATAAAATGGGAACATGTGTATTTTGCCTTAAGTCTGCTTGACCACAGGGAAAATATTCCTGGCATAGCTGGATTATTAGATTTTGCAGCCAGACAATTCTATCACTGTTTACATGGTAAAAAGGCATATCTAACAGACTGCAGCATATTTAACTGTGCTGTTGTCAGAAAGAGGTAACTATTGCAATTTTGCTGTTAGATCACAACAGTTATGACCAAACAGTGAGGATTTTTCTAGGGCTTAACAGGAATCTAGTACAAACACATTTATTTTAAACTTATATAGTAAAGAACATCTGTGCTTGTGCTTCACTTTTTTCCATGGCTGCATGTGGTGAAAAACAACACAAGTGCTGTCAGACCCTATTTGCCTAAGACATAAAAAGCGTGTAACTGCCACAGGTCCGAACAGTAGCAGCGAAGTTCTGCGAGTTTCTGAAAAACAAAGGACGCTGCTTATGAATGTGAAAGTCATCTGCAGTATTGTCACTGACACCACTAGGTACATGATCAGGTCCTCCTGGCTACTACATCATTGCCTCAAATGACTGCAGTGTTATTTTTTGAGGGCGGGAACACATTCAGAAGCATGAAGTCATTGGGAATCTTGATTTATGAGGATGGAAGTTTTCCTTCGGTCCCAGCTGGAAGTTGTCATTTTATTAAATTCTTCTCCTAGTTTCTGTATGATATACCACAAGCTTAAAACATGCAAATCAACACTTTAATTGTGATTGTATATATACTTTTTTTCTTAAATGAAGTTTACTTCTTGTGTCTCTTTTGGCTGAGAAAAATGGGGTTTTCCACACATATCTAAATGCTTTCAGAAATCAACTATCTGGTTCATTCTACAATTTAAATTAATGAAAGCCAGCAGCTGAGTGAAGTGGAGTAAGGGAAAAAAAAATCTCTTGCATCAAATGAGCTGCTGAACTGGTCACACCAGTATGTTTCTTTTAAAAAAATCTGTTCCTTTTACCCACCTGCAAAACTGAGAATGATTTTAGCCAACCAAAAAATTAGACTGGAAGCTGGTGTTTTTTTCAAGGATCAGTTTGAAATCTGCTTGAGTATTAATGTTTGTAGAATATAAATAACAAGTGATTGTAAAGGATAATATCTGTGGTTTGCCTCATTTAGTATTTTGTATTTGACCAGGTTCTGCAGTGATGCTTCAGGAATGATATTGAGAAGGGCAAGTACAAAGTGATATTTCTGCTGCAATGCCCTCCCTAGTTCTTTAATAGTTTAGGAATTTCCTTGGGAGGAGCTTACTCTGTTGAGCTTGATTACACTTTTTTACATTATTCCATTAGTCTAATCATGTTTTAGAATTATTCCTAATTTTGACTTCCAAAATGTGCTGAGGTAGTGAATTCCACAATTTAAATATGCATAACGTGACACAGGAAAATCATGTTGTTTATCCCTTTGCCATTTCATTTTATGCTCCTGTTTTTTATGTTATAGGAAATACGAATAATTGTTCCTTATTCACTACTCGGTCATCTGTTCTCCAAGCTGCAGAGCCCTAATGCTGGAGACCTGCAAGGGTAACTAGTAAAGGGACTGCCTAAAAAGCTGAATGCAATTACTCAGCATCAGGGAGTTAGCTGGGATAATTCTGAAAAAGCTGAGGGGTATGGGTAACTAGTGAAGTGCAATCCATGCACAATTACAAAAAAAATGTCAAGTCTCCATTTAAATGGGCAAGAGTGTGAACAGCACTTTCTGAACAGCTCCAGCAAGTTGGATTGGTGCTCTACATTGACAGAAGCCAAATCATGCCTGTAAACTGGGGAAAAGCAGCAAAAAGTACTTTCAAAGAGTTAATAACACTGGATCAAGAAGAAAGGACAAAAGAGTGATACAGCTCATTTAAACTTTGGCTCTGGAAGAGGCAAACACAGAAGCTTGTTCAGAAACCTTAGAGGGATATAAACACTGATAAACAAAGCTGGTTCAGGAAAAAATGAGAAGTTGTAATTCAGAAAAAATAGGGGAAAAAAAAAAGGAAATTTCAAAGATACTGTTGGGAATAAAGAAAGTTTGTGTAACTATGAAATAATCTGTTAAGGGAAACAGTGGAAGCCCTTCACTCTAGTCTTCAAAGTGAAGTTTGACTATGTATTAGAGAAATACACCATAGAAAATGTCCTTGCATTGATAGAAGAGATGACCTGACAAGGTTTCTTCCATCTCTGACTTCTACAGCTCTTTGATCTTAACTGATAAAATCCATTTTACAGCAAACCCCCCCACTTCATGCCAGGACAAAAGTAAAACTCTGTGAAAAGAGGTCTGCAGTAGTAATTTATTTTAAATCAATTTTACTTTGTGCTAATCACGTATAGCTTCTCTGTGTAATTCCAGAGCAACTTTAGACTCTGCTCACTGAGGGACAAAAATAGAATACTGAAGAATAATTTCCATACACCTGCATGCACTAATCCGTTGGCACCAGGAAAGACCTGCTCTCACTAAATGACTAATAAAATCCCTCTCCATCTCTGTAAAACGACAAATGCCTGGTTTTCTCCTTATTCTAGTCTGCATTACACCACTACCTGATTAATTACATGAGATGCTCCTGAAGATATATTGCATTGTGCAAAGTATAATTGAAACCAGAGATACCATATTATAGTGAGGGCTATAACCATGCTTCCATTAATATAAAGCCTTATTATCAGCAGTTTATAATTCACTCTGAGATTAGATTTGACATATAAGATTTTAGGCTAGGGAGGATTTTTCCGTGAACAAAACTAAAGGAAAATCTTTTTTGGTCTTCAGAGATATGGAAATGGAATGGGGATAGACAGTTTTCATTTAAAATGCCTTATGTGTGTATATAACTGAAAAAAAACCCTTAGTTTCTGAACAGAAGATTATGTTGGCTATTAGTTCATAATATGAGCTAGACATAAAGGAATTAAATTTTCACAAAAAAGTGGATTAGCTCTTTAATGTGGGAATTTTAAATCTTTAAAATATGCTAGCAAATTTAGCACATCAACACACAGCACAAACATAACTTCAGAGTTCTCAATTTAAAACTGTACTGGC